ACTTGAAAATGTGTGGACTTCAACTCCCAGAATTCCCCAGCCAGCATGGCTGGCTGAGGAATTCTGGGAGTTGAAGTCCACTAGTCTTAAAGTTGCCAAGTTTGAAGACCACTGCCCTACACCATATCTAAAAATATCATTGAAGGCACCTCAAAAAATCCTGCTACAAGTAGCTCTCCTGGTTTCTATGTGGACCTTTCACGGAAGGATTGTTGAAGATGTTTGCTCTTCTCTTTCTCTTTCCCAAGATCCTTGTTTAGTTTTTGGTTCTAGCCTACAGCCCTAGAATTTCCTGGCTATCACCCCATCTAAGTACTAACCAAATAAAAACATCGTTTGGATTGCCCACAATTTGTAGCGTTGTAACATGGAGAATAAACCTGGTGTTTTGCACATGTCTTACTTACCCCTGTTTGGTTTCCCTTCAGGAAGAGGGTCGCTGCTTTCTCTTGACCATGTGCCCCAACACTTGCGGGCCTCCTGGCTCCCAGAACTCTTCCACTGCAAGGAAACTCTGTGTCCAGTTGCTGCTTCTGGGGTCTCTCCTGCCCACCTGGCTAGGTAAGTAAGAGGAGCATCACGGACTTGCCGTCTTAATTTTTCCCTTCCCGGTTCCAAGTTTGATTTGGTTAAGGATGACGTAGATCTCCTTATATTTCTGGAATTGTTGGATGATACCAATAAAGGCGAATATTTGTAGCTCAGGGTTGAAATGAAGGGTCCTTGGTGCTCTCTGAGCTTGGTTGTTTTCTTGCAGACGTTTCCTTACCCAAACTAGGTAACATCATCAGTGTTCTGATGCACTGGTGATGTTAACTAGTTGGGTAATGAAGCATCTGCAAGAAAAGAACCAAGCTCAGAGAGCACCAAGGACCCCACAGTCTTCTGCCTCCTCGTCCTCCACTCCGCAAACCCCCCTCCCTTCTAGTACTGATGATGCTACCTAGTTGGGTAATGAAACATCTGCAAGAAAACAACCAAACTCAAAAACCGCCACCATCACCACCTCCTCCTCCTCCTCCCACTCTACTCTCTTCTAGCACTGATGATGTTATCTATAACATAATGAAGTGTCTGCAAGAAAACAAGCAAGCTCAGAGAACACCAAGGACCCTACAGTCCTCCTCCTCCTCCTCCTCCTCCTCCTCCTCCTCCTCCTCCTCCTCCTCCTCCCACTCTACTCTCTTCCAGCACTGATGATGTTACCTAGTTGGGTAATGAAGCGTGTGCAAGAAAACAAGCAAGCTCAGAGAGAGCCCAGGACCCCTCACTGTTAAAGTATAATGGTCTGTGGGAATGATCTGGGAAGAGAAAAAGAAGAGACAACCTGTGTGTATCCCTACTCACAGAAGGTGGGAGAGCAGGGGAAATGTTTCAGAAAGGACCCTCCCCAGTTTTCCAGAGAGTAAAAGGACTCAGTTAGCAACTGCCGTGACAACTGTAGCAAAAAGGTCATCAAAAAGGTTCTGTAGGCTAGAACCGAAAGCTAAACGAGGATATTGGGAAAGGGAAAGAGAAGAGCAAACATCTTCAACAATCCTTCCGTGAAAGGTCCACATAGAAACCAGGAGAGCTACTTGTAGCCGGATTTTTTAAGGTGCCTTCACTGACATTTTTAGATATGGTGTGTAGGATGCTCACTTAACAACCACCTTACTTAGCAACGGAAATTCTGGCCCCAATTGTGGTCATCCCCGTGATAGTGAACACATTTCCTCTCCACTCCCAGGGGGAGAGCCTTCTCTGTCGGAGCACCCACCCTCTGGAACGAGCTGCCCCCAGAGATCCGGGTGATCCCGGATCTCCCCTCCTTCCGCCGCGCCCTTAAGACCTGGTTATTTCAGCAGGCAGGACTGGCCTAGGGGTATTTTAAAGGGGTTTTAAATTAAATTTTTAGTAGAAGCGGCCAAATTTAAATATTTA